TCGTCATGCCGATCACATTCCCCTTCCCCGGATCCATATTTTTCTTTTCTGATATTAAAAGAACTGTTTTTGGGGTGGTAGGGTGCGGCCGGCGGCCAGGCTCGGCTCTGGCTCAGATCGCGGGGGAGAAAAACTGGAGAAATGGAGCACCGCACGCACGGCGCACGACGCACGAGGCCGGTGGAGACGGGTTGCGGCGGCCGTACGTAATGAAATGCCCACGAGAGGATTTTCTCAAGTAATAATTGTAATTGATGGAGCTCCCGGCGTCTGGGGAATACCTCACCGCGTGCGTGGCTATATGAGACGTGGATTACGCGGGGTAATATGGGCTCTTTCTTTGAAGCGATGTGTCAATTGAACTGATGCCAAGAGCGCAGAGTCTGGGGAAACGGACGTCGGTGAGTTCATATGCATCGGTCGCACGGAGGACGCCAGCTCTCAGAGGTCGCCAAAAACATGCCAAAAGTCGTCGCAGGATGCAGAGAGGACTCGTCAGCTTCATCGTATGAGCGACGAGGCCTTTCCCGTTGGGGACGTGTTTTGTGGCTAGGTACTTCAGCTCTCAGGTAAGTGGCTTGCGGCCAAACGCCTTTTCTGCACACGTGTGGAATGTCATTGGCGTGATATCGAACGCTGGCAGATTGGCTGACGACTGCCCACAGATTCACGCGACCCTTTGACGGTTGCTGCCACAGAGGCCTCTCATTCTGCGGAAACCAAGTCGCCGCGCGCAGGTATGCTGCGGCACAGTCACTCGCAAGACCACACAATCTTCCCATCTCAGAGCTGGCGACTGACCAATCTCCAACAACAGTTCAACCTTTTCCCGTCTCGGCGGGTGACTAAGCTGCCTTCAAGCACAGCAAACCGAAGCCGCCGCTGATAGGAGCCAAGCTTGGAATGCAGGCACTCCTCGGGCCGCCCATCCAGAGATAAGAAGCCGCTGTATCATCGCGTTGAAGCCAACCCAGGGACCAGGAGCCAACGGCCAAGCCGTCCTGTCCGATTCCCGAGACGGCCTTGCCGCCTGTCTTGCGGGCGTTCAGCCCTGGAGTTTGAGGGCGAAGACGCCAAAGAGAAAAACCTCCTGAACCCCCGATCGTGCCTTATCAGCGCAGCAGCCCTTGGCCATGCCAGGCGCTGCGCGGCGGGTGATCATCGACGGCCCCAAGCCCTCGGCAGACTGGGTGTGCATTCCTCTGCCTAGAGTCTAGCGGCGTCGGCGGCAAGGTAGTGATAGGGCAAAGCAGGGCGGCGTCATGGTCAAGGACCACGGTCGCCTCGCATTTCAGCTTCGACTGCAGGGCCAAGATGTCGGAATGTTCTTTCTCGACGCATGGAAGTTCTGGGCAGCCCTACGGCGGCGCCTATCTCTCAGCTGGAGATTCTGGGGGCGGCGCATGTCAACGACATGTCTTCTGTTCTGTATATCCAAAACAATTGAAGAGATTCACGACGGCGCGGCCGAGATATCAGTGGCCGCGTCAAACTTAAAGCGTCCAGCCAGGCGATTCATTAGCCCCCGTTGAAAACGTCTTCTGCGCCTTAGCCGCCATCCTCGCGATGTCTTCGGAGTCGGATGTAGATCACCTCATGATAGGATGCAGTGGTCGAAAGCGCCTGCTTCACCAAGAACCTCCGATATCAGCATTATGGACCCCAGGGGTCGCGCGGTCGACATAAGATTGCAGACACATCGTAGCGGGTCCTGTCACCTACTTCGGTCAGTCCGAACGCAAGCGACCCTCGTCCCATCCCAGGTGTCCACAGTTTGGGGAGATAAGAGCCGAGGAAGCAGAGGCCAACGCCTAACGCAAGCTGTTACGTACGAGAAATTCTTTGCGCACGAATGAGCACCTCGCGACGCTTCCCCAGAGGATGCTAATCCACCACCGTGGATTGGAGCAACGTGAGGGGAAAAGTGTCCGCTACCTGTTCGTTTGAGAGGCATGCGCCGCTAACGCGAATCATGACACGGCGGCGCGGGATAGCTTCGTTCTTCACATGCGACGAGGGGTTTTTGACGAGCAACTCGCGAATTTCGGGGCACCGGCGTGCAACTCAACTTGCGCGTATGTAGGGGTCGCAATAGCGCCCATTCCTCAGCCTCTTCACGTTGACGGGATGCGAATCCTTCCGCTGGGTAGATGCCGTTGTGATGCTACGTCGGCCCTGTCGTCGCTGATTTCGCATGACAGACGACAGAGTCGTGCGCGTTTGTGGCCAAAATGCCATCAAGGAGCTCACAGCCGTTTCGAGTGTCTTTTGGTCGAACCAATCTTGAATACGGGTCTCGCAGGACTGCCGCCGCGCCAGTGTGGGTTGGTCCGACTGCCTGCCGGCACGGCGACAATCGAGGTGCGTTGGCGCTGCAGCCCGGCGTTGAGCTCAGAACGCCTCAATCCCCTTTCACATGGACCATTGTTGGTAGCTTTTGCGTTTCGACACAAAGTCATTCGGAAATACCGCCTTTTCAGTTAGAAACTCGAGAGATATCAAGACGAGACACGGCCATCAGCGAAAACGTGGCTGTTCTGTAAAGCTTGAATGAGCCAAAATCATCGACGCTGGCTTCGACTGGGTGCTTCCCAGGAACTTCCAGTCCGTCCGACGCCCCTGTTCACTGGCATCGCGCTCCGTGGCAACTGAGTCGTGTGACGCGCTGCGCACCAAATGTACAGCTCCTCACTGGCCATAGCCATTGAGTTGCCCGCTCGCGGCCTCATCCTCGGAAAGTCTCCCCTGACCAGGCTGACCGACATGTCCTCGAACTGCCTGGCGCCTAACACTCTTGGGGGGGTTTCCCCGAGTTAGCCCCAATTATTGTGGGCTTCTTCCAGGGAGCACTCCGGAACGGTGGGCATCGGACTGGGGTCTCGTCTGGCAGCCCAAAGTCGAGACGGCTCCGCATGAATTGTGGTCCAGTGGTTCTGGTCCCTGGGTCTCCTGCGCAGATAAGCGTTTCCGTCTCGAACTTCCGTTTGTTTGATATCGGAACCATAGATAAGACCAACAAGCTGCAGCTAGCTGCAAGCTGCTGGATGACTTCACACATATGCCTCGAAGGGTGCGACTCGTGGGAGTCTCAGGGCAGCTCTGATCACCCTCAGATTAACGAATCGAGATGCAGCGACACGAGATTGGACACAGGGCCGATAGAAGAGCGCTAGAAGCTTGAATCGAACGCTCTAATCTGCCCATGAAGCAATGATGGCTGGGATTTGCATGCCATCCATCTGTTAGCTCGCGACGGCACCTAGATACCTGCCGCTAAACCAAGAATAGCGCCATAATGTGATGTGGTTGGTGTGGTGAAGGCGACAGGATTGGTGAGCAAACGAACAGCAGGTTGGTGGCGCCGAGAATGAGGGGGCAGACAATCCCCCAACCCACCATGGCTCATGTGTCTGCCACACCGAGAACGCTGAGCAGCCGCATTGATGGCACGTTCGAAACAAGTCTGCAAATGGGATGAGCCGGGTCGCACCAACACCACCAATCCCTTATCGCATTGCCACCTGTCAGGTCGGTCCACGATGGTTCCGGCCGTGTCTCTGTCCTATCGGAAAGCATCAGCTCATCACCAGACGTCATGACCGAAATTCTGTCATTGCCCTATCGCGATGGAGAGGTGCCCGTACGACCAGTCAGCCAGAAAAGTGCATCCCACGCCGCGGTACCCGACGAACTGGTAAGATCACTACCGGAATGGATCTTTGATGTCAAATGGTCAGCAATTGGTGATGAATGCGACAGATATAGCTGCGATAGGGCATACACCGGCGAAGACGTGGTGCTGTCGTGTACACCGCGTTGCAACTGAGAGATATCAACTAGGGGGTGGGACCCAATCTCCCACCCTCCCTTGCATTTTACTGCAGAACTTGCTTCCCAGGCGCCAGGCTTCGAAGAGTGCACCGTCTTCGAAACGAAACGCACTGAACTACCTAGTGTAAAAAGACCCTGTGGCTGTCGCCTGACCTGCCGTGTGAGCTGGAAAAGACACGGAACCGCGCCGGCCAGGATCAACAAGAATGACGCTGCGCGGGAGAGCTAGGCAATGGCACAAATGGCTGTGAGCGCGAGCGTGAGTGGTCGTGACAGCTAGCGTCAACCCGACGCTAGCACTTCCACGACCTCGATGTTGACCCTGTTCTCCGTCTCCTGCACGACGTCGGGGGTGATGCAAGGGTGAGGGAAACCTGGGGCGGCCAAGATCGGCCATGGCCCACCCACGCATGCATCGATGCATACCCGGGCCAGCCAGCTGTGTGCAGCAGGTTGAGCCAACAAGCCAGCTGTGCTTGGCGATGCAAGGTCGCGAGAGGGAGTTGCCATTATCCGTAGGTGCCATGCCCAGCTCCGAAGAGCCGCTGCAACCTTGGACAACAGCCGCACAGAAGCTTGTGGCTTGTCGACAGAGATTTCCGCCTAGTGAGCCTCGTCCTCCTCATCGACGTCTGTGTGGTCCAGCAATGTTGCGCATGATGGTCGATAAACCAGCAAATGACATCCCAGCCAGAGGGTAGCGGTTCAGATTCGTCCCCAGCGTCCTGGACCGGGACCTAGACTTCTTGGACGTGGACCTCTGGCTGGCTCCCTCTCGCTGCCCAAACCCAGTCAGACAGTCCCAGAGACTCGTGCTCGCTTCTCCACTTGCTCCATTTCCACACCCAAGTTCGAGGGAACGAGGACCGACTGGATCCTCAGATAACGTTGAGGAGGCAGCGCCAGTGGGCGAAGGGAGGGGCGGCCACTTTTTCGGAGCCATTTGCTAACGGCTTCAAGTGACACCCTGCCCATTGGCCAACCAGCACCGCCAGCGCTATCTGCACGCTCCAAATATTCAATCGCCCGGATGGGGCGCTGCCGGTGGAGAGTCTGGAGAGCAGATTGCCAATCCAGTTGCATGGTCCTCATTCTCCCGAGTCCCTCGTTCATGTTCCCCCTCCTGTCACCCGGAGGCGTGCGTCTGTCTGTCTGACTGTCTCGTCGTCTCAAAAAACCCCCCATCTGCTGCGACTTTGACTGTGGCTGTCGCGTAGGCAGGGCTTCTGGTACCTCTCCTGGCAGCCGAAAAGAGCTTCGTACCCGCGCCTGGATCCCTCGTTAGCGCGCCATGCACCTCGGATAGTTGTCCGCCTAACTCACCTCAGCTCTAGATTCGACGCCCGGTGAAGCTTTCTCTGGTTCCCGCAGCCCGGGGTACGTATCCTGAGCACGTCCGAAAGCCAAATCGCCCCCATCCCACAAAATACTATGCGACAAGTAACGGGGTCGTTGTCTAGGATGGCCTGCCATATGCCCGTCCACGCCAAGATCTGCGTCTCTCGCCCGTCGAAAGAGAGAGGGGGCAGGCCCGGCAAGACACAGGCTTCATCAGAAGACCAGCCCCAGACCCTCGCCTCTTCTCTCCCATGTGTAATTCTCCATCGTCAACGGACCACAACCTAGCGGCCTTCCATGCATGACTGATCCGCTTGCCGCCCTTGACAAGAACCCTTAGTCGTTGCGCGCCGGTGCTTGTCTCGTTCTGTTTTCCTTCAAAAAGACCTGGCCTCCCCCCGTCCCATCTTCCCTGAGATCGTGCGGTATCCCTCTCCTTCCTTTTCTCATCCCACTCGGGTCTCACTCCCGTAATCTTTGTTTTTGCAACAGACAATCGAGTCTGTTCACCCTTCGCAAGCCTTGAGTGATACAAGCCTTGTCGACACATCATCATCATGTCTTCAGACGGGGTCACCCCCACCAAGGTGCTCGAGGCTGACGAGAAGGCCTCTGGCAGCCTTCCCGGATACGACAGCGGCAGTGGAAATGCCATCCGCGGCGACATCCACGAGGAGAGCTGGGCCACCCGTAACGGTTTGAACGCCGAGTCCTTCAAGAAGAAGGAATATGGCCGCGGCGTCGTCGAGCTCGACCGTGCCATGAGCACCCGCCATCTGCACATGATTGCCATCGGTGGATCTATTGGTGCTGGTTTCTTCGTCGGTTCCGGTGGCGCTCTGAGCAAGGGCGTGAGTATTTGTTGTGACAGATGATGTTGCGCTCTTTCGCTGACGAATCTCCTAGGGTCCTGGTTCTCTCTTCATTGATTTCTTGCTGGTTGGTATCATGATGTTCAACGTCGGTAAGTGTCGAAGAAGGATCTTTCGCATCGCGCAACAAAAGCTAACGCGCCGCAACAGTGTACGCCCTTGGTGAACTCGCTGTCATGTATCCTGTCTCTGGTGGTTTCTACACGTACTCGACTCGCTTCATTGATCCTTCCTGGGGTTTCGCCATGGGCTGGAACTACGTCTTCCAGTGGGCTGCCGTTCTTCCTCTCGAATTGACGGTTTGCGGTCTCGTCATCGGATACTGGGATAGCGAAACCAGCGTCGCCGTCTGGATCACCGTCTTCTTGGTCGCCATCATCATCATCAACATCTTCGGTTCTCTCGGATATGCTGAGGAGGAATTCTGGTCAGCTTGCATCAAGCTGGGTGCCACCGTCATCTTTATGATCATCTGCTTCGTCCTCGTCCTCGGCGGTGGCCCCAGCAGTGGTCGTTACAACACCTACCAAGGCGCGAAGCTGTGGTATGACCCCGGCGCCTTCCGCAACGGCTTCAAGGGCTTCTGCTCTGTTTTCGTTACCGCCGCCTTCTCCTTCTCTGGAACTGAATTGGTCGGTCTTGCCGCTGCCGAGGCGAAGAACCCCGTCAAATCGCTGCCTGGTGCTATCAAGCAGGTCTTCTGGCGTATCACCCTCTTCTACATTCTTGGCCTCTTCTTCGTCGGTCTGCTGATTCCCTCTGACGACCCTTCCCTGCTGTCTGAGTCCTCGTACTCTGATGTCAAGGCCTCTCCATTCGTGCTTGTCGGCAAGTACGCTGGCCTCGTGGGCTTCGATCACTTCATGAACGTTGTCATCCTTGTGTCCGTTCTGTCGATTGGTGTGTCTGGTGTTTACGGTGGATCGCGTACCCTCACTGCCTTGGCTCAGCAGGGCTACGCACCCAAGATTTTCACCTACATTGACAAGTCTGGCCGCCCTATGCCATCTGTCATCGCCATCCTCATCTTCGGCCCCCTGGCTTACGTCAACCTCAACGCTTCCGGCCCCGTCGTGTTTGATTGGCTGTTGGCGCTCTCGGGTCTCGCCGCCGTCTTCACCTGGGGCTCCATTTGCCTCGCTCACATCCGTTTCCGCAAGGCGTGGGCCTACCACGGCCACACCGTTGACGAGATCCCTTTCAGAGCTATTGGTGGTGTCACTGGCTCCTGGATCGGTCTCTTCCTCTGCTTCGTTGTGCTTGCTGCTCAGGTATGGTGTTCTCGACTATTGTTAATGAATGCAAAATGCTAACCGAGGAACAGTTCTACACTGCCATCGCCCCTCCCGGCACTAGCGAGCTCAACGGCGTTGAAGGCTTCTTCAAGTCGTACCTCGCTCTCCCTGTCGTTATCCTTTTCTGGGTTGGTGGCTTCGCCTGGAAGCGCACCGGTTGGCTCCGCACCTCTCAGATGGACGTCGACACTGGCCGTCGTGAGCTTGACTGGGACGAGATCCACGCGTACCGTGCCAAGATCGCTGCGATGCCCGCGTGGAGACGTGCCATCAACCACGTCTGGTAAACGGGAGAATGGTTGTTTGAACGAGAAAAAGAAGGGCTTCCGGGTTGCACTAGCTCAGTGTCCGGGGCCATGGCAACTTGCCATTCCATGTACATTGTAATGCAGGACCGCCCACCATCCATTAGAGGGGTGCCTGCCGGAACATACACGTTCCCGTCTAGTCATTTCTTAGCAAAATCAAGATACCACGAGTGTTTTCACCTACCATATGCTAGTTGGCCCGTCTCTATGATGTTGTGAATGTCTCCAGCTGGATTGCAGAAGATGTTGTTGGTTGCACCTGGAAAAAAATTACAGGGCGATGAAAGAAGCAGCTGGCGTCTTCGTGGGGGCTGATGTGGTGGCTTGGAGTTCTTATATACCGCGAGGGAAGGGCCAAGACAGCCAAGCGGTGGTTGTGTCTTATCTCTTTGGAAGCACTTCCAGCTCAGCCATCTCCCACTCCAGAAGCAGTGGCCGGATAGGCTAAATGGCAATCAATCTTGGGAGACAAGGGCTCTGTCGAATGAGATGGCGCGGGGAGGTCTTGGGGTGTTTGGGGGTTCGTCTTGGTCATTGGCGAGGAGATAACGCCAGACCACCCAGAAGAGCAGGTCGCAGGGTATCTTCGGGGGTTGTCGCCACTGTTGGTTGGGCCGGTTCAATCGATATCTGCTGTCGAGGACTTGTTGACGAAGCTTTTGGGGAAGCTTGTTGGAGAGTCTAGCCGGATCCAGTGCTTTCTCCTCGTCGAAGGTGCAGGGCCAAGGGGTCGAGATAGCTGTAGAGCCATATCAATGCCGCTCGTCTGCTGGATCGCGGGGCAGTGTCTGGCATGTCGGGCGTGTTGAAGATATCGGCTGTCAACGCCGAAATGACGGGTGAGGTTCCGACGATAGCGATTTGGTGTTGTGTCGCGGTGTACGTGGGAGGCCGAAGGCGGTGAGGTGTTGTTTCTTCCAAGATTGAGGTGCTCCTCGGGCGTTCATTCGAATGACTGGAATCGGATCAAATTCTTCCGGGTCTGATTAATAAATTTCATTGTTGGAAAGTGCGATCGAAAAGTAGCAGCTGCGCTTTGTGTCGAGGAAAGAGCATCAAATCCCATTCGTTCCTTCTGTTCCCAGCCGTCGCGTGGTCGGTGGCTCCCTCCAGCTTAAAAGACGTTTCCTGTTAGCGCCGCAGGGTGTCAAAGACGCCTTAGAGGGGACGCCCTTCAGCGGCCCCAGTGTCAAACTGCCCCATAACTTGCCGTCATGATGGCGCCCTTTGGGAACATGTCCTCCACAACGACCCGCTAACGTCAAGGTTGAACCCCACCAATCTCTCTGTAAATTTCCCCATTAGACCCTTTTCGGGGAAGCTTTCTGTTTCTCGTTACACATGTAAATCATCCGCGTATTCGCCATCAAAACCTCGCATTCTCCTCTATTTCACTATTGAGGTATTGCGTCCCTCCATCTTTCTTCCCAGCCATTCAAATACTGCGTCAAGCGATGGCATGGTTCCGGATTGGGCGTTGGTGCTTCATCCGGCTTTATTGGACAAGACATCTTCAACACTCTGAGGCTTCCATCATCTGATTCGTCCAGGAACATGTTCATTCTGATGGAATGTTCCATGTCGCTGAGAATCTGGCCGCTTGCTACTGTTAGTCCAGGCTTCACGAAATCATGAAGCGTAAGGGAAGCTACCTACCTGTAGCCTTCAAGAGTGGATGACGATGAGGCAGTGCTTGTGTTGCTGGCCATGACGGTGAACGAGTGACTTGGGATGAACCGTGAAGCTTCAAATGGGCCTTGAAGCGAGCTAATTATACAGGCCTCGAATATTGGAATATTCGTTGGACTCCCACAGTATTTCACAAATCTCACGTCCACATGTTTTGCGAAACGGCGCATCACCAAGACGGATCGGTGCCATGCCTTCGGACCAACGAGCTGCACCGCACGGCCGGGCAACGGCGTGGAAATTAAGTGGAGACCCCGCACTCGGCCAAGTGGGTCCCCTCAGCCGCAATGCGCCCCCGAGTTTTGCGCAGCGGCGTAAAACTCGCGCCGCTCAATCCTCACTCATAAGCCGCTTGCCCCTGACATTGTCAACCTCTCTTCACTCACATCTGCACCCCAGCTGTTAACAATCTTTCACGAACCGAAGCGTAGCATCGTTTGGTTTCCGATACTAGATGCTCATACTGGGCTCACAGCCGTCATACTTGGCGCCACTTTTGCTTGCTTACCCCGCCATTGACCCCGTTCCAGGGACGCAACGACAATCATGGGCCCCCCGCCAGAAGAGGGCAAGGCCCAGGTCCCTCACGACGAACAATCGAAAGGCAACGACGAAAGTAACCGCAATGGCTCACCCGATGCGACAGATATCAGCCCTGAAGCTGAAGATGCTGGCCCGGACCTCTCTGTTTTCGACCCAGAATTCGTGAGCTTTGAACCACAGCATCCGGAAATTGGCCAATCCGAGTCGGCCCAAAGTCCGAAGACAAAACTCGAAGAGCAATATCGAAGACCACGCTTTGAGGACATTGTTCCTCACTGTTCCGACAACGGAACTATAGCCACATCTCAAGCATTCAATGCCAGCACACCTAGTGAAACAGCCGTCAAGGACGAGGATTCTTCCAATGAAGAGGGCTCATCCAGCACTCACTATGAAGACCCTGACGGAAACGAAGACCCTTCAAAGACTGTACAGCGAATGATGGTCGACAGTGTCATGACATCCTTCATGGACTGGCTTGATGTCAAGCTGAAGGTGAAAGGAGAGGAGGAGAAGGAAGATCTTTCAAGTCTTCCTTTACTGGGGACACCTCAACCCATGACCGAGGGCCTGAAATCAACCCTAATTCCTCGATTCACAGCTCCAATGCCAGTCCCAACGGGATTCGCTCCATTAAAACCCTTGACTGGTGCCTTTGGCTCTGGTCAAACTTCAGGCACGGATAAGGCAGCAGAAAGCTACACTATCATACATGAGAAGCAAAGCAGTATTGAACGTCCGGAGCTTTCGAAAAAGGAAGAAAGAGCAGAAGACGTCGAGAGGAAAAGAGCGAAGCTGGGAGGGCTCAGAGCGACCAGAGAAGGCCTGAGAAGTGACAGAGAAACCCACAAAGAGTCTCTCGTTCAGTCTCTGGTCGGTACCTCGTCGACTGCAACATCGAACTTAGCTTCATCCCGGGATGAGCCCAGGAAACTCAGACGTTCGTCAAGACCAGTGGACACACAGTCTGCGCTGAGAACCCTTTCTTTGTCGGAGGAACCTGCTGAAGATGAGCGGGACAGCACGATGCCAGTGCTGGCGTCGCCTCCTCCACCACCCGCTCCCAAGGCGAAGTCTTTCTCGTTCTCAAATTTATTGAAGAGAAGCAAGAAGAAGAGTGCGGAAGAAAGAGAGGAAGAGAAGAGAGGATCAGGTCTCGAAAAAGCGGAAGAGGAAGACGAGGACGAGGACGATGAGGAGGTCCTCTCTGGAGAAGCCGCCGCATCCGAGGCGGCAACTAGCCGAGGGGGTGAAGCCGTGGAAGAGCTCATGGCATACCCGCCGACGGTATTGGACCTCGACTTTGAACCCAGTGAAAGTCCGCCGTCTGTAGGGGGGCCACCCCCCATGCCTGCTGCTTCAACAAGCTACGAGGTAGTAGAAGAGGATCTACCTCCTTCAAATAAGTCCCCAAAGGCACCAGTACAACAAAGGAGAAGCTCTGCAAAGCTCAGGAATGAGAGACGGCTCAAATTGCCCTCGCTGGTCTCTGATGTCGACTCACCGGCGCCAGCCAGTAAGGTGGCAGCCGAAGAAGAGGATGAGCGGATACGTGAGCGGTTACGCACAAGGTTCGAGCGCGGAGGTTCAGCATCGTTGCCGAGTTCAGGGAGAAGATCTGGGGCTTCATCGAGGAGGAGCGAATCATCGGCCCAAGAGCCTCCAGGTGGAGTTGCACTACGAGCATCGGCACAAATGCACCACCCATTAGCCATGCCATATAGTGACATGCGATCCGAGGACGATGCGGTATTTTATCAGTTGACCGAGGACATTCCAGTCGATAACAATGTAGCACAAAGACCACGTTCCGATCACCACTTCAGTCGATCGTGCGCGGTGGATCATTCAGCAAGAAGAAGATTGCAATTGGGGACAGCCGCGACCAACCACACACAAGAGCCAAAGAGTCGCAAGAGGAGATCTTTGGCATCAAAGCGCAGCAGATTGGATGACAAGGACAACGGAAACGAAGACGAAGAAGGAAAGGATGGTGATGGAAATGGGAATCGTCCGCCTCGCGCCAAGCTTCCCAAGGTTCAGGAGGACGAAGTCAGCGGTGCGAAGCTAGCTTGTCCGTTCTTCAAGCACAACCCACGCAAGTATAAGAACCAGCGTCCCTGCTGTGGCCCGGGGTGGGATCACGTTCATCGCATCAAGTAGGTCTTTGCCATCCCAACCGCTAGACGAGATGCTAATAATCGATACAGGGAGCATATATACCGAAAGCACTCACTCCCCAAGTTCTCATGCCCGCGTTGCTCTCAGCCGTTTGAGACTCAATCGGACCTGCAAGCCCATGCTCGCTTGCCTACTCCATGCCAAGTCAAGGAACCGGAGGTCTTGGACGGCATCACCCAAGACCAAGAAAAGAAGCTTCGGTCGCGGAAGAAGACCAGCGGTAAAGAGCTCACCGAAGCCGAGAAGTGGGCCCAGGTCTACAGCATTCTCTTCCCAGACGTCAGAGAGCGAGAGATTCCGTCCCCATGTAAGTCAAATATCTCCTCCTTACCGACGGACCGCAACAACTGACGAGCTTCAGACTACAACACAGAGGACGCCCAGACGAATCTTGGCGGATACGAGGACTACCTCCGTCGCGAACTCCCTACGCAGGTCCGCCGGCAGCTCGAAAAAGAAGTCGAGCAGCAGCTCAGCTTCGTCGAGGAAGGAATGAAGCAAAAGGTCATTGAGATCGCGCGCAACTTGCAACTCTCACTGTTCAAGAGCTACCAGCAGATCGAGACTCAAGAGAGAGACACCGAAGGGCCGTCACCAAGCGACGGCTACATTTCGAATTCTGACTTCGTCTCGTTCACCGCGACGGATACGTCGCCGTCGACGATGACCACTGCCGGCACGACACCGGAGATGCCAGACCCATTGGAGATTTTCGGCGGTGACCCCGCGATCCCGGATTTCAACTTCGACTTCTTGTCCCAGGTCCCGTCCGCAGAGTCGCAAGGGCCCGAGAAGGCCTGTCAATCGACGTTTGGGATAGATCCATATGCTACGTCGGAACCACCCACGATTCAACCGGGCATGGACATGTTCGGAGGTCAGCAGTTCGGTATGGCTTATCACGATATGGAGGGTTATGACGAGAGGCAGGGCACAGTCCGAAACATGAGCGTGCTCAGCTATGCGCCCTGGGGTTCAAGCAATGAGTAATGACTAGCATTTTGAGATACCCTTCAATGTCAGTACGAGATTCCCATTGTGGGTTCTGTTTCAATCATCAACAAGATGCCAAGTGCTTGAACGCCCGTCGGATACGGGCTGCTGACGGGAACCGGGCTATTGGTTCTAGCCAAACCTCTTAAACCCGGTAGGGTGTGCAGTCTGGTGTATTATTCTGCCCCGGCACAGGCCCGTTTGACCTCGTGAAACAATTGTGGCGCTTGGCACGGCTGGCGCCGTTTCCAAATACCCTTCACTCATTCCTACGGCCATCTTCCGCTGAAGAAGCCAGACGTTTCTCCCGCTAGTCTTGGCTCAATGGATCCCTTCTAGATGCCAGCACCAACCGAATGATCTACATCTCGTCTGATTTGGTCCTTCGGGCGCTTCCTAGCGCGTACCATTCAGCTGGTATTATTACAGCCGAGTGTTTGCATCACACCGCAGAGTACGACATCAAAATTTGACGTACATTGAACATATTGGACTATGAGGGTCATTGCGGCCATGTGAAATGTTTTCTCATTAGACTCGTGGTATCATTGAACTGCCCCCGAAACCCTAGACTCCTGTCATGGCGATGTCATAACATGGATCGGCCGTTGCTGATTTACCGGATCAGAGCGCCATACACTAAACTCGACCGTCTTGCTGATTCCTCCCAGAGCTTTTGGTGTTTCTATCCGCTCAAGATCCACGTCGGACCTCGAATGTCCACTGCTGCTGAGTATATTCACCTGCGAACTCGTCCGCTTGCCGCCGCGGACCTCCACCACCCTCTCACTTTGCTGCGTCGCCGGATCCCAGTCCTCTGGCTTCCTGCCCGAAGTAAATCCTCGTAATACTGGGCGACTTGGACAAGTCGGATCGTACACCTGAGTTGTGAAGACCAGCTTGGATGCCAGTACATCGATGCTGAATGCCTCTCATTAGTGGACAAATCTCACGCACGGCGCGGAAACCTTCAACTTACAACATGACGACAGGAAATAAACACTCCAACGTGTACGCAAATCGATCTAACTGGCTTGCGGCATTCGTCGCGCTCTGAGCCGTCATTTGAAATGAGTACGTGATGGCCCTCATCGTCCCGAGGATGGCAAGCGTTGCAAGTCGGACCTCCGTACTTCTCATGAGATACTTGAACAGACCGCCCTTCAATGCCGCTCGGATCGACGTCGACTTGACCTCCGCAAACGTCTTCAGTAAGAAGAAAGCGCTTACGCATTCTAGCGTTGCGATAAGCACGAAGTAGGCGATGTGTAAATTGTTCACCGTGCTCTGCAGATTCGTGTTTCCTCGCAGAATGAACCTGATGCGTGAGGTGGCGATCATGATTCGGAGCGCAACGAGGGCGGCGATAATGATCCAAAATAGGCTGTTGAAGATCATCCACCCCCGATCCTTCAGTATCCTGCGCAGGAGCACGTAGCTATAAAACGACAGCCCGACCTCCTGTATCTGCCGCGTTCGTTAGTTTGGTCCACGGTGTTATTCCATTTCTCCAAAGACGAACCAGCCAGAAGAGATCCCCGAACGCTGAAGCAGCGGCCTTGTTCTTCAACCCGTACCCTTCGTCATAATATGCGTAGTAGCAAAGACCGTTTGCGATGGCTCCCGCCGCGGATGAGATGATCGGTACCACAGTGATCTGAGAAAAGGTCGTGATCCCGACGATGAGGAGCCCGAAGAACACGTTCGCAGCGCCGATGGTGCTGAGGATCGACCAGCTCAACTCGAAGTAGACTGGTAGTATTGGCGTCGACATGATGCCGCCGATGGAACTACTGCGTGGCTGCCGGGCTGGCGCATGGCGTATGCGGAGCGGAATGGGGTGGCATTGGGAACTGCAAGACTAGTTAGAGAGCGGCTGATAACAGGCTTATAGGCCACCCAAACCTTGCAACTGCACCTTAATCAAGAACAGGTTGGATCCACTAGGCGCGTCTATTCCTCTGAGAGCCGTCCATGATGCCTCGAGCTTAGACTTTAGCGACTGGGAGGGGAGAAACAGACGGAGCTCCATGGGGCGGACACAAACTACGCCTGGTGAAGGATATTGCCTGATGAGGAGCTGTCCGCCTCGGCCACTCCTTGCCTCTGCCACGCACATAGAAACCTTCAAAGCCTTTGGCCGCAGGTATGGCACAGTTTGCCGGGCTGTCTCGCTAGAGGTAACTCTTCGGGTACTGGGATGTACCTTCCAAGAAGCTCGGATTGAGCGGAGAATACGGGAATGATCAACGTCCGGAAATATGTAGTAGACGATGCCATGTGTCTTGCATAGGATAGGGGTGTATCACAGAGCGCTTATCAAAAGTCAGCAAATCTGTCACACGGAATTGGAAAAGCCAACTGTTCATAAACACCTAGGTCCAGCAAGGCTTTTGGTCGCATAATCCCATGGCAAATCGAAGCCGCTTGGCAGCCCCAAGATGATGGGAGGGCACATGGCACAGTCAGATGGGATGATTCGCCGAACATGTGAGGATGGATGCCCTCCATCAATTACACCACTGTATACCGACTGAGGGCGGATAGAAGTTCCGCTAACGGCAGCATACTTCCGTCGTAGAGTATTAGAGCAAATGATAAAGCGGCCAATGATAGTTTCGTGAACTTTGAGCTGCCGCTGAGCGGTAGCCCGCGTCTCACCTTACGAGTCCATATCCAGCTGTCAGAGTTTCGTGGCGCGGCACTTGGGAGTTTCCAAAAAGCTTAAAGCGACCCTACTCCTCCCGCTGCTCGGGGAACTGACATGGAAAGGTCCTTGCAGAATGATGTGCTACTCCGTACCCACTCAAAACGTGGGATTGTTGGTCCAGGGGACGCCATGGTGGCGAATCCAAATACCCTCGGGGCGGGGTCTAGATGTCGGATGGAACCACCATTTTGTCGAACACATGCTGAGATGCTGCAGGTGAAATGTGGAGATGGACCCTGCTGTATGCGACTGTGACGACCGGTGGCCGTAATGTTAACGACAACATGTGTGATTATGAGATGATCTGCGTTGACATGCTTAGCAAGCTCTTGGCGGAGTCATGGTGTCAGTGTACTTCGTGTTATCACACCAACTCGTAATTCTGATGGCTGCCTCCATCTCCAACACTCGAAAACCTGTTGGTTCTGCACCCATTACCTAAGTGTTGGCCCAAGTAGTGGCCGGGTTTTGACTTCGCGCACGTCTGAAGGCACACACCAGAAGGCCGAGCGCTTGGACGGGTTGGAACACGGACTCAGACGTCCATTCATTGGATGTATCCCACTGGCAACACCTTGAAGCTAAGTGAACAGCACGTAATTGGATCGCGAGTCGTGCCTGTTCCGCATGTTCACGGCTTCGTCTGATCGCCTGGGCCATCTGAAAGAACACGCAAATGCCGGCTCAAAGAACGACGGTGCCGACCCGTCGACTCAGAAAAGCTCGCATCCCGTTTAACAGCCGGCTGGACATCGGACTATGATTCCGCTGTCCGAACGAACAGGAAAGAACATAGGTTGGATAAGAAAAGAAACATTCGAGTCTATTTTACTGATGTGGCGGTAATGAAAGCCGTACTCGACCTACTTCCGAGCGGGATGCCTAGTATGGACCGAATACTAGGTATGCTTAGAAATAGTCGAGAACAGCGAAGAAATCACGTCTAGACAGACCACAAAAAAAAAAAAAAAAAAATCTAATCTTTGACGATGAACTCAGTAGCCCTTGGTATGAGCGAGCCTTCGGTGTTATCTGCTCGGGCATCGGAGCTACTCGAGGTTTCAAGTCCCTCAAGACACACCAGTCCAACTGACACGATCGAACGCCCTTTCGTGAACGACGACTCAGCACGTGCGTCTTCATAGGGCTATTGCGAAATGGTGTTCGCGATGGGAACCTATCCGAAACAGAAATCTGTCGGGTCTATCCTATGCCTCCGCGCGCCCCGCGCGCCCCAAGTGCCGCACGAGAGATGAGGCAGTATTCGTTATCCCACTCCCCGCGGCGACCTGCCATCGAAAACTCTCGAATGATTCGCGTAGCGCGTCTGCACTTGGCTGACAGAGATGGATGCGGTCCTAGGACACACCATGTTCGTTGAGTGTATCCATAGCGTCTGCGCCGCTTAGCCGTCGTTCACGGTTGTCAATTGAGTTGATCGGGTCTCCATGGTCCGTCGTCCGGCGCGGCGGCTTCAAGCACCGCCGAAGATTTCAGTATAGATAACATCAACTGGTCGATTGCCAGTTAAGCACAATTGATGGAGGGACGCAGAATTCAAGTCATTGATCTCATTAATTCATATCCCAGTGCTAAGCCATGAGGCCCTGGTCCTGTGTAGAAACAATCTTCTCCAAGACGCCCACGCTGAATGTCGCAATTCCAAACGCCCTAGCTACAGATGTGATTTTGGTAGCAAACTTTTCTTGCCGGCCTTCCGGACTTCGCTGCTTTTTGTCCTCAAGAATCTCTGAAGACCTGCCAAGCTGATGAGATGGGCTGGCGCAAGTCGATAATTCCTCTCCTCCGTTCATCCTCCTAAGCCATCATGAACTCCTGCGATTGAGCTCTGCCGCCATGAGCGATGGAGGCATCGTCGAGCATCGAGAACCCATCGTCGGAACCTAGTGCTGATATTTCGGATTTGCGCTCTTCATTGTCGAACATGTCCCAGTCCATTGATGAATCTCCTCCGGATGCTGTGTTGTTCATCACTGCTCCTGCATTGACTGTTGTCGCATTCGCCGCCATACTCGACGAGACCAAGTTCTGCGCAGCGCCCGAGATATACTCTTCGATAAAAGAACATCCGCATCCACCATGCTGAAGCACCATGTTCTTCAGCATCAAGATCTCGCTGCGCAGCATCGAAGCCTCCGCGTGCAGACTCTTGTTGACATTTTCCGCAACCACCTCCTGCGACTGCAGCTCCTCGATCCCCTTCTGCTTCTTTTGCCGGCACTTGTACGCTGCCTCTCTGTTGCGGGCGCGAATGCGGTTCTTCTTA